CTTCAGCACCCCAGGCTCCTGGGCTGTAAACAGCCTCCTGGCTGTCCCTGAGGAGTGGCCCCGCCCGTTCCTGGCCTCTGCTGGGAAGCCCTGCTCCTGCGCCCAGGGACCCTTCTCTCTCTTTAGCGTTTGTACAGTTTGTTCATATTGTTCATCTGCAACATCCTGCCTTTTTTTTTTCTTTTTCCTGTCTCACCCAGCCCTTAAGAAGGTGAGAAAGGGCTAGAAAGGAAAGTGCAGAGGCCTCAGCCACAATGAAGACCGTTTTATTCTGGGCACAGGGGCCCAATGACTTGGGAGGCTGAGGCAGGAGGATTGCAAGATTAAGGCCAGCCTCAGCAACTTAGTAAGACCCTGTCTCGAAATAAAAAGTACAGAAGGCTGGGGTGTGGCTCCGTGGTAGGGCACCCCTGGGTGCTGGATCCCCAGAACTGCTGACAACACCACTCCCTCCACACCACTGTCACCATGAAGCCACAACGGAACCCGGCTGTTTCTCAGAATCTCGATTTCTGTTGAGACCCTCACAGAAGAGAGGCCCTCCGTGGTGCCACCAGACTGGGCCTGGGGACAGTGAAACTCATCTTTTAAGGTCACTTTCACCTCTGCATCTGGGAGACAAATTTGGTTCTGAAATCATTGAGTTGGGCCCTGTTCCGGCGCCTGCTGGGGACCGCGGACACAGCGATGAACCAGACAGACCAGAGCCCTGGGCTTACGGAGCTGGCCTCCAGAGACAGACCGTCAACAAGAGGTGTCCGCCTTCAAGCCTCCAGAAACGCCACGGGAGCTGTGTGTGGGGCTCAGTGGCAGCGCTCGCCCAGTACGCGAGAGGCACTGGGTTTGGCCCCGAGAACCGCGTACAGATGAATAGATGAAAAAAATAAAGTCATGGTGCCCATGTACAACTGAAGATTTAAAAAAGAAAGAAAGAAAGGAAATGCCCAGAGAAAAATCAAACAGTAGGGGAACAGAGTGTGATCGGAGGAGGCCCCCAGGAGATGTTCGAGAGAAGAGCTACCGAAGTGAGGTGTCTGGGGAGAGGGTCCCAGGATGAATGAGTGTCGTGTGCAAAGGCCCTGAGGCAGAACCAAGGGAGAGCATGGCAGCCAGCAAGTTTGCAGAGGCAGGGGAGGCTTTGCTTCTCTGCGCCTTTCCTCTCAGTCAGACCAGTGAGGACAAAGACCTGTTGTCCTCCATCCATTCCAGAGCCACAGGGAGCTAACGGGTGGGAAGGAGCTCTGGGAGGCTGAGCAGAGACCAGTGAGAGGGCTGTTAATGGACGCCCTGGACGAGACCCATGGCAGGGGCACTTTGGGACAGTGTGGTTTCTCCTCCTGGTGACGCCGTGTTCTCCTAAATACCACGTTGAGAGAGCCCGAGTCTCAAACATTTCCACCCTCTCATTTGAGGGATGGAAAAGTAGGGCCCAGAGAGGGGAGGAGCACCGCCCAAGGTCACGTAGCAAATTCCTGCCAGGGCCCAGGGCCCCGGATCCGCTGAGGATCACAGCCAGTGTCCACCATCCCCTTCCCAGGTGGGAAAGAGAGAAGGTAAAGTCCGGGCGGGAAGGGGGACAGAGTGTCTCTGGGCGCCTGGGGGCGGCACCTGCAAAGTGAAGGAAATGTGTTAAATAAGCCCCTTCCCCTCAGACTGGCCTCTTGGCTCTCGGCCAGCGCCTTCTTTTATGTTTTGTGATTTTCATTGTCAATTAGAGTCATAGAAGAAGCTGGGCTTTGTCCCCTTGGGTGGAGGGCCTGAGGCCCAGATAGTGAGACCACTCGTGGGAGGCACGCAGGCCGCTTGGCAGAGTTGACATCTTCTCTAGAGAGAAGAAAGGAAGACCATAAGCACCTGTAAGTTATTGCACAGGTAACTTCAGAGGGTACCAGACTAGGAATGGAATAAAACAGGGACCAGCAGAACCAACGTCGGGGGTCGGAGAAAGACCCCGTGAGCCTGTGGCTTACAAGCAACCAGCTGTGCTCAGGGCCAGGCAGGGAGGGCTCCAGGCCAAGAGGTGGCAAATGCAAAGGTCCTGTGGCTGCAGCAAGTGTGGAGGGGCAGAGAGCCAAGGCCCATCAGAGCGCAGGGAGGTGGGGCCAGGGACAGACCTCGCGGGCCTGGCAGGCCACTGTGAGGAACA